AGGAGGAGGACAATGACTGTGGGGTCCTCAGTGCTCTCTGAGCTTGGGGGGGGCTTCCTTGCAGACGTTTCATGACCCAACTAGGGAGCATCATCAGTGCTAGTAGGGAGTGGGGTTTGTGGAGAAGAGGAGGAGGAGGAGAACTGCGTGGTTCTTGAGCTTGGTTGCTTTCTTGCAGATTTTTTCATGACCCCATCAGTGCTGATAATGTTTCCTAGCTTGGATAAGGAACCACCAGTGAGGAAGCCACCCAGCTCAGAGGGCACCCAGGGCCGAACGCTTTCCCCCCCTTCATCAGCCTTCCGCAAAGCCCCCCACCACCGTTGCGGTACCTTTGGAGGACGGCCAGCGTGCCTGGGTTGACCCGGTGAAGGCCGTCCAGAATGAGCAGCTTCCCCTGGAGGGCAGCGGTGACCAGGGGAGACGGTCTCCAGGAGGTGTCCCCGTTGGGCAGCGTGTACCTTTGCTGCAGGAGGTCTCGCGCTGTCATATCCTGTGAAGAACAAGGGCGGCCCCCACGGCAGAAATGGTGAGCTCCACGGGGGCCGTACGTCGAGGACTTGTCTCCACAGCTGAAACTCCCACCCTTGAGGGGAACTCTTTGAGATTAAGCATCTAGAATTTGTCATTCTCTTTCCAGATGTTTTCCTTATGAAGTGCCGGGAGAAAAAGAGGAAGGAGAGGGAGGGAGAGGAAAGAGAGAGAGGGAGGGAGAGAGGAAAGAGAGAGAGAGAGACAGAGGAAAAGGGAGAGGGAGGAAAGAGAGAGAGGGAGGGAGAGAGGAAAGAGAGAGAGGGAGGGAGAGAGGAAAAGGGAGGGAGAGGAAAGAGAGAGATAGGGAGGGAGAGAAGAGAGAGGGGGAAAAGGAGAGGAAGAGGGAGAGAGAGGAAAGAGAGGGAGGGGAAGAGGGAGAGAGAGAGAGAGGAGAGGGAGGAAAGAGAGAGGGAGAGGGAGGGAGAGAGGAAAGAGAGAGAGGGAGAAAGAGAGGAAAAGGGAGGGAGAGGAAAGAGAGAGAGGGAGAGGGAGGAAAGAGAGAGACAGGGAGGGAGAGAAGAGAGAGAGGGAAAAGGAGAGGAAGAGGGAGGGAGAGAGAGAGGAGAGGGAGGAAAGAGAGGGAGACAAAGAGGGGGAG